ATATATATATATATATATATATAAATACCCATACCTTTTTATTTTCTGCCTACTATAATTTCGCGGCAGGGTACTAAGCGAAATACAAATCATATTATAATTATAGTAGGCAGAAAATAAAAAGGTATAACATTGTGATTTCAACTACAGCCGCAGCTTAACTGGGTTCTATGCCGATTTGGGCGCCCCAGATCAATCCCGCTAACGGGTGATTGCTGTGGCAAAGATCGATAGACATAGCTGAGAGACAGGCGAAACAAAGGACCCGCATGGTGTGGTGGTGAACACGTTACTCCCCGGAAAGGACAATAGCGCGTTCGTTCCCCACCATAGACACCTGCGGTCCAGAGTTTTGCAAATATCTCAGCAACGTTGTGGTTGTATTTCTATCAGAGAAGGTTTTCACTCCTCTAAAACGCCATCACTCGCAACATACACGTCAAGATGGGCTCAAGAAAACACCCGGGTAACTCAGAGCCATTGCGACTATCGTAAACAGAGTGATGTTCAGTTTAAAGTTATTACAATAACAATATACTTCGAATTTTGGATTCCCTCGTCAGAATGTTGAAGCATCGCAAAGCAACGACATCTTGAGCATTCAGAATATCTTTCCTAGGCTTCGCCTCAATATGAAACCTAGGTTCGACAAACTACCGATCCATTATAAAAAGTGTAACAAAAAAGCTGCACGGTGGAATTACATGCCGAAAAGCGTACGTGTTGAATCCAACATGTACAATCCGTGGAGTCCGTCATCGTACGCATTGAAATCAACGCGCATGATCGCGAAAGGGTTAAACTTTTGTATCCACCTAGCTCACAAATAACGTTTTAGTTTTATTGACCTACCGACTATATTTCTTTAGAACAAGCAAATCTGGATGCCAATTCTGTATGTCTCTTGCGATCTTCACGATGGGAAATTGCATTCCTGATTGGAAATCAAGACTTATTAGTAGAACGTCATACTTCTTCCAATTGCACGCCAGTACCTATATTTTGTTCATCGATGATCTTGAATTTCGCGCGCTCGCAATGGGTAGTTGTTGGTCGCGAAGCGGTTGACGCGTGTATCGATCGGAGCGGTCGGACGGAGTGGCCGCTAGACCGTTGTCGCCCTTTTGTGCCCTGCAACGTAGTTCGTGTGATCTTTGATCAATTTCAATTCGTAGGTAGCGAATTGTTCGTGTGATTTTGTATGGTGTGAAAATTTTGTGAGTTTAGTAGTTCTTTGGCGTCTAGGCGGAATCTGACTGGTTGGGCCTGGTCTCGACTGTCGTCTTCCAAATGTTCAGCGAAAGTTGGTTACATACATGTGTTTCAGTTTGTTTCACTTCACGCACACGGAAGAGATGGCAGACCGTGAAAATCACAATGAAGAGGGTAACCCTCTGTCTGTAATTCATTCCGCTGGAACTAAACGAGGACAAGAATCCTTCGATGGTCCAGCTAGCAAGAGAGCTCACGTCGATGGGGAAGACAGTAAGTGGATTGGTGGTCTCATTTCACTCATCTGGTATAACGATAGGATTATTTTTACTACAGATAATCTGGCTGTGAAGATCCTGATTCCTTCGGCTGCGGTAGGAGCGATTATTGGAAAGGGTGGAGAGGCAATGAGAAACTTGAAAAACGACCATCAGTGCCGTGTTCAGATGAGCAAGAGCTCAGAGACTTATCCTGGTCGGCTGAAGTTCCATTCAAATTTTCATATTGTTCTTAAGGGCTTTAAAGACTATCTTACTGCTGGTTGGTTGTTAGGAACTAACAGTACACGCCGTATTCTGACGCTTACAGGGACAAGTGAACGTATTTGTCTTGTCAAAGGGCGCGTCCAGAATGTGATTGGGGTGATCGATGTCATACTGCAGAAGATTCGTGAGAAGTGTGAAGGATCCACGAGTTCGGACGCTTTCGATCACAAGGGGGTGAGCCGAGGAAACGAGGTATGATTGTGATGGATGATACAATATCATCCCGTTCAGTGGTTGTAATTCTTTAGCCGTGGAAAATGTGTTTTGCTCTTGGGGTGAGCCGGCAGGACTACCTTCGTAAACGAGTTCGCTTTGTTTAGAATTTTCTGAATTTCACGTCATTCTGGCATTATTTTTCTAAACTCCTGTCACCTAGCTACCTTTAAATCGATACTACTAGCTTACATGCGGTCAATGTCGTTTACAAGGTGCTACTTATCCTCAAATTATGAGGTCCTTTTCATTCATTACTAACAAGTAACTGTTGTTAAATGAGTCATATATGGGTTATCTGTAGATTCTTTAGGTGAAAATCGTTATGCCCAATACTTCCGCCGGTATGGTGATTGGGAAATCTGGAGCAAATATCAAGGATATCCGTGAAACATATGGGTGTCAAATTCAGGTTGGTCTTCGAGCGTTGCGAAAAGTTTTGAAATCTGAGGTTGTTAAGGGTTGCTGTTTAGGTATTTCCCAAAGCCGGATCAGCGGAAGCACAGAACTCGCTAGAGAGAATCGTAACACTTGCTCATGAGGATCATTCGGTAACTTATATTGTTTGAAGGAATTAGTTCTGGTTGCAAACTTATGTGTTTAGCAACTTATTCAAGCAACAGCTCGTGTTCTGGAGAAAGTTGTCGCAGATCCTCATCACACAAGTGAAATAAACAAGGAGGATTTTGGCGGGAAGGGCGGCGGTGTAAGAGTTAATAAGTTTCACGTATTACTCTTGAACTCTTAAATCTTCCTTTCATTATCGACTTTTTCGGTTACATTTAGACTACAAATACGTCATTTACTTCTGCTGCTGGTTTTACTAATGGTGGAACATCTGGCACTTATAACTCTGGCTCTTCTGGATTTGCTTCTCAAACGTATGGATACCAACCCAGTCAGCAACAAGCAATTAAATTCAATCCGATGAGTGGTTTGGGAAACCAAGAGGTACCGTAATTTTTATAGGATTATATTTCGTAGGTATTGGTTTGATGAATAGCATTTAAGCTTCTTTCGTTCCTTGACAACCTACAGTCTACTCTTCGCTCGTCAGGTTTCAATGAAGCTAGTGTTGCAGAGGTCATGCAGGCTATGCAGGTAAATTAAATAGGAAAAATTCCTGATCTATTCATTTCTAATAACAAGGTTTCTTTTAAAGGTGCTTGCTAAGTATAACATAATGGGTCTTGGTCTCGGTCTTGGCGTGGCCGCTATGGCGCAAATGCGATCGGCTCAGGAAACTACTTCTCAAATGCCCAGTAACCATGGTGTTGCTGGGTTTGGTGATCAGGGTGGATATGCTGGTGGTGACCAGGTAGGTCGCTTCCAGGGCCAGGGAGTACAAATTCGCTGGCAGTAGCGGCAACTGCGTGTGGGCTGATAGTAATCCCTGTTTAAACACCAGCTGGTTTCGATTTTTTCTATCACTATTCACTACATCTGTTGTTGCATATTCATGTTGTTAGCACAATGTTGAAGCCTGATCATCGGGATTTTTTAATCTTCTTTCCATAGTATTGATCGAATCAAGAAACTAACTTATCGATATCTGTAATACCGTTCGTTCATACATATTATTGTTAAGTTCATTGTGGTCTCATCATTTCCTCTTTATCCTAATAAAGCTTTGAGTATTGATTTATTTGCTCATCGTGAATAGCATTACCTCCTGACATCAACGCTCATCACAGTGCTTTGGTCAATTTGAAATTCCGACTTACGATCCTGATGAATCTTCAGACTCATCCAGCATAGCATTTTCGAGTCGAGTATTCGCTCTCTCGACGTCCATTTAGGCCGAAGTGCCAGTATTTCCTTTGCTGAAGTGCATTCCGTTGTGATGCATACATTGTTTAGTCGCTTGTTCGGCTTCCATACAGCATTCAATATCGATGTGGCTGAAAGTGATCCTCCATCCAATTACACTTTATTCAAACCAGTTGGTGACTGTCTCCTATTAACAAATATTTGTGTCTGGAGCTCAAATTAAGAGGTTTTAAGCTATTGGTATTATTATTGATACCTAGTCTCTGGGTGGTATTTCAAGTGATAATAGATACTTGCCTAGCATCCCAGCGTCAACTTACTTCTGGTGGAGGTTCTTAGGAGCGGTTCCGGTGCTGCGGCTAACGGTGAGAATTTTGCGTCATCAATAATGGTGGAACGACGCATATCAAATGAAGCGATTGAGCTTGAGGTATGTGGACAAGAAAGAGTAGAGCCGGATGGTTTTAATTGGTTTGAAAACAGTTTTGGAGTTCTTCCTCGTTCCTTGCATGAAAGCTGAGGAAAGGGCTGTACGTTAGGTACACGCCTTCATTGATTTCGCTGCAACATTCCGTTGTTGTAGGTACCGGATACAGTTGTCGGTGCAGTATTAGGTCCTAAGGCACGAACACTTCAGGAGATCCAGCTCTATAGTGGCTGCAAAGTTCAGGTATATAAGCGGGAAGCTAAACCAAACTTACCTACCGGGACTAGGCTTATCAGGTTTGCTATTTCGTATATTTTGCATATCTATATATTACTTTCAGCTTTTTGAGATAGTGTATATGGTTTTATTTTCTGCATTTCAGCTTGGCCGGTGAAGAGAAGTGTATGCGAATGTGCAGGTTGATGATTGAGCGCGTGGTCAACGAAGCGCAAGACCGCAGGGTGGGAATTCGTCCCTAGAGAGAAGTGACTATCCTCATCTCTCTCTCCCTTCTTCTCTCTCCATGCCTCTCTTTCCCTCTCCGTCTTCTAGTTTTCATATGTTTTCTGTTCCTGCTACGTTCTTGAATCCAATTCTCACCGTTCTCACATTCTACTAACATCTTTTTACAGCTAGTATCAAGGCAACATACGGGATCTATCAATCTCATCTCTTGTTCTTAACACTTTCTATGACGCTTAGGGCCATATTTGTCCTTTCTTATTTCGTTCTGTTAACGATGATTTCCATTAAACTGTCTGATCTTCATGATACTTACTGTATTTATGCTCTATTGTTAGTAGTCGATAAAATCTTTTCTATCTTCTGACAATCAATTCAATTATCGTGGCATATCAGTTAATCAACAAATCTGTCAAACATCTTATCTGCGGCGTCTGAAATTCTCGATCTCTCCTCTGCATTCATGAAGAGGTATTTCTCAGTCTAAAAGCTTTATCATCTACAAAAGAACTTTGGGTACATGGTGAGTATCGGATCCAGATGTGGTTGTTTCATTCAATCTGATCATTCTGGTTGGGGTGCCTCCGGTGGATTGCTCCTTGGGCTTTGATCTGGTCTCCTCCTGCTCATTGTCTCAGCCATAATTGCCCGAACTCTAATGATTACATAGAGACGTGAACTCCCTCTAGTATTTCTTTAAAAGAAAACCATATATGGTGCGCATTCTCCCAATCCGTGTAGATCGTGTTCGGTTCTTTTGACGTGTCAGTTGTGTTCGGTATCCTTACGAAGTACCAACGTGGTGAAAATGTCACGAACTTTTGTACTGGTTTTGCGACAGGTGGCACTTTGAAGTTAGTAATGATTGCAGGTGTTGTCATCATTCAATGTCCAATTCATCACGGTTATGTGAAGCAGCGGAATGTGAGCGAAAAGCCGCCGAGTGGTATGTGTTTAGTGTCATAGCTTTCGCAAGGAGTACGGATTTTTTTGTCAACTATATTAGGACTTAGCGGAGTTCAAAATCCCCCATAAGTGATAGGTATCCCAATGTTCTGTGGAGGGAATAAACGTGATAGATGTTGAAGGATCCTTACATGTTCGGGCATTGGTGGCGTCTTCATCGCTAATAGTTACAAAGATTTAGTCAACGTCCTTACACGTTTAGTTCAACATAAGTTTTTGAGATGTTTATAGAACTCCGGGGCCTTTGAAAACTAACCTGTTTTTGAACTTAAGACGAACTTATTTCTCAGAAGTTTTGCTATCTTACAGCCGTTAAAGCTCGAAACGTTTGTTTTGGTTAAACTTGATCATCTGGATTTCGTTGATTGAAATCCAGGGACTTATCATTACATTTCTGAGAAGTTTGAAGTAGGTTTTTCCTAGTCTTATGTGAAATAAAGGCTTTGACCAATTTCCAGAACGAGAACCAGGTTTATGTAGAGATCGCTCCTGGAGTATAAATTGTTCTGTACTGTAGAAATGGTGTGGAAAGCACCGTCGTGTTGAGAGGTTGATTAGTTTTTTCGGAAGAAATTGATTGTTATTTATTGAATTCACAGGTAATGTGATCAGAAGATGCGATTCTCTTCATTGTTCATAGCAGTTCATAATTAGCAACTTCACGTTGATGAACATGGTTGAAATAGGAACAAACAGCATTTAGAGAGTGTAGGCTCTTGACCCAAATACGGTAGATTTTTATGCAGCGTAAAGCAGGGAGAAACCCTATGTAGGATAAGATGCATCTTCCATTCTCGTGCTTTTAACAGTGCTTGAACACGTAGAACCCACTGAGGAAGCAGTGTTGAAGCAGTTATGAAAAAACAAGTGAATTCGTATTCTCTTGTTCATTATGATGGTCGGGAAGTTATAGGACAGAGACCGTTATGTAGTACAATTCCATTAAGGAATAATTCACCATAGCTGCATCAGCGTTTAGATCCGAAGAGATCTGAATCTACCTATCAATAGGGTCAGTGCATGCTGTTTAGAACAGATGTCAATCAATGTGTTAGACTAAACGGCAGTGACGGTGACTTTAGTAACTTAACTTTCATAATTCAGCTTGAAAACCTCGTTATTGAAGCTCAAATTGAAGCCGGATTATGATGGCGCTGCAGCAGCATTGGAACGCGCTTCAGTGTGCTACCGTAATGCTGGCGATGTGAAGAAGGCGTCTAAGGTTTTGATAGAAGCAGCGGAGCACTATGAAGAACACGGAAATCTGTTCCATGCAGCTAAGTCAGTGTTTTTTAGAATGCCTGTGGAAGAAGATCTAATTTAGGAGTCTCATTTCCAGTGCTAAAAGAGTAGCTGTTAGGTTGTTCATTTTTGCAGAGATCTTGAAGGCGCGGCAATGTTGCTGAAGGACGCTGGTGACGTTTCAGCAGCTTTTCCACTTTTTGAGAAAGCAATTGTTCAATATGCCGAGTCAGGCAGTTTGGACACAGCTGCAATGACTGTGGAGAGAGCTGCCAAAGTTGTAGCGCAGAACGAGCCGGAGAAGGCTATTAAGGTTCACTTATATACATCAGCTAGCTTGTTTAGAAGGTAGCCTCGTTATTGTGGATGGGATAGTTTCATGGTATTTCATCTGCTCAGTACAGCCGCATTCCAGTTATACGAGAAAGGACTTGTACTCGTGCAGCAGTCTGACCGGTCAAAATTGGCTGGTGAATTCTTGAGCCAAATTGCACATCTAAATCTGCGATTGGAACGTTACAGTGAAGCATCGAAGGCGATACGTGAAGAAATAGAGAAGTACGTCGAAGTTAAGGTGAGTTTCGCGGTGCTTGTAGAATTGTAGAATAGAAAGAAAGAGGGCTGCATAATTGACCTGGGTGAAAGTGGCGATGTTCCGAGAATTTTACTTTGAGTTATAACTGTGTTCCATTACTTATTACAATTTGTGGAAACAGTTTGCTTTTGTTATTAAGATTCGCTAAACCATCACAAGAATGGATTAACCTCGATCTTGGAGAACATTTTCAAAACCTGCAAGATGCAAACGACATGTCGTTTTAGGAGTCTGGCCGTGTCGGTCAGCTTGCCATAGCTCTTGTTTTGGTACAATTGGCGTTAGGAGATTCTGTAGCAGCCGCTAAGCACTATCAATGGGTAATCGAGTGAGTTAGAGTAGATTTCTTGTAAGGTTTCTTATGGTTAGCAAATTTGTGCTAAGAGATTGTTAAGCTTTTTAAGGCAATCCTCTGAATTCGAGGCCACTGACGATGCGAGGATATGTCGAGAGCTAATTGGTTGTTGGGAGAGTCACGACGACGATCAGTTCCAGAATCTGTTGAAAGATGGTGTTTTACGAAGCATGGATAACGATGTGGGCCATGTTTTAAACAATTCTTGCCACTATTTTAATATCAGATACCATTGTTGTCTCCAGTATTTACGTCTTATGAAGAAACTTCATGCACCTGAAGGAAGCGGTGAGGTTGACGCGGATGCAAGTGAAGGGAACGACGACGATTTAAAGTAGAGAATGAAGCGAAGATCGTTTTTTCGGATTCGTTTCTGCTTAGATTTCGTTGTAGTTCATTTTCGTTTTTACTCTGTCTGTGAAGCTAAATTTGACTGTTTGGAGTTGCCACAACTAGATTGTATGTTTGGACTGAATGATGTTTTCTTACCATTCCAAAGTCATTTGCGTTGCATGACGTCATTCGTGATAAGTATAATCACCGGGAAGTCCTGTGCTGTTTGTTCTAAAACGTAAAATTGTTATTTATCAATGCCATAATTTATTGTTGTTTTAAGTCATTAATTGGCCTAATAAACCCAGTCAATCGCTTTTGTTCACGTTCTAGTTTTAGTTCTAGTCTTTTGGTGTATCTGAAACGGATTCTCGTGTTAAACTCTATTATGATTTTGGTCCGACGGGATACTTGGACAGGAGCATTTGCTATGGAGGCGTTTATGGCACAATTGCAGTTATTGAAGGAGCTATTTATGGCGCTCAGCAGCGAGGAACAAGAAAATGCCTTAGGTGAAAATAGATATCTTGAACATGGATACTTTATCGCCATATGATGCCATGCAGTGTTTTAGCTGCTTGCTCTTTGAAGTATTATTACTTATTATTCTTTCTGTTTCATCTTATACGACCCGCCAACGGTTTACCGCCTTATCGTGGCTGGGATTGTTCCAGGGTGTGGGGGTACGATGTATAGCTGGGGGATTCATCCTCCAGCAGGGCCTCCAAGGTTGGGGAGACCGGAGTTCCCATCAAGGAGCTCAGCTGAGAGTAAACCATTGCCAGGATCCACTACCGCCCTGGTATCAAACTGGTCGCATGGTGGCTAATCTCCCTCTGATCCACAGGGGTGGCGACTGCCTGCGGTCATGTCGGCCTGGAGCAGACTAGATCCAGGTATCCAAGTAAATATTTTATGCGACCCGTGTTCAAATCTACTGTGTGGATCCCAGCATTTCTCACATTCGATTTGTTTCCTCGTCATCCGTTATCCACGAAGGTCTCCTAACTTTATTGTGTAGCTTCAACTGCCGTTTGGGGGTTTTCATTTCGTCGTAGATGTTGTAGAATGCTGGTAGACTCGATTCTCCCTGAACTGAGACAGCTGGGCGGAAGAGCTATGTTTGGAAATGGCTCCATGGTGTTTCGAATAAACAGCAGGTTGCAGATCTCTTGGTCATATTTCACTTGAAATTGAATTTTTCCTTGAAAATGTGGACTCAATTTCAGATTTATGACTTCCTCGAGTAGTTCTAGATGGTAGTGCTTTGTTGTAGTGAATAATCCAACTATCCTACTAGTCGTGGAATAGTTTTCAGTGGATATCCAACTAATATCTTCATTTCCTCGAAGTCACCGATAGTCCTCGGTTTCCTACATTTGTTTTCGCCAAGTTTTAATCTCTGAGTTAATGTTTACTGAATTTGACGTCCTCTATTGTTCTACTTTTTTCCATTTAAAATATTTTGGGTGGCCGGTGCACTAATCTGCCAACCGTTCCACTGATATGGCAAGGCATAGAGATGTCGCGTTAATTTATACATCGAGAACAACGATATTTGCTTAGTCCTTGGTGGGATCGAACCGACGCCATATTTGGGTTGTTTTACGGTATCTTTAACCGCTACACTCCCTGCGCGTCTATGCTAAATAAGTAGTGGTAAATTCTAAGCTATAGAATGCTTTATTCATTTTTTTTCTCATGACCCGTTATCACATTTGTTGTGCTGGTCCTAGCACTTCTTGTACTCCATTAGTTTTACTCAGATTTATCGTTCACAGTTGTTTTCGAACACTCCAAGCGTTGTATCGACGGCTGGTCGAGGATTACTTCTTTATAGAAGTCGTAGAGTTCTGGTCGCGAATTAACTCTCCTTGCAATCTTAGAGTTGGTCCGGTTAAGGCGTTCCCATGTGGACTGTAGGACAACGTTAGGAGGGCATCGAACTAGCACTTTGCTTCCTAATGAACTGTATCACTAACCACTACGCTACACTTCCCCCAAGCTTTAAAATGGAATATAGACATTTCTGTAAGGGAAAAAAAGGTGACGGAGCTATGGTGCAAAGTCGGGCATTTCTTACTGAAAAACCTTGCTTACTCAAGAACCATAAGTAGTAGTTAACTGGATTGGTCAAGTTTTCTGGATCTCCATTTGCAGTTAAAGCGCTTTTTTGATGTTGCTGGTTCATTTACTCGAATTAGAATGTTTGAAAAAAATACTACAAATGTTTTATGGGTTCAGTATCTTCTCTTTTACGTGGAATGATGTTTTAAAATGACAGTTAATTAGTAAAGCTGTCGAGAGCAAAAGAGATGGTTTTTTCCTTCGAAATTTGGAAAATTGGAAAATTTGTCATCTAGGGAACTTTTAGAATATTTTAAGTAGTTCACGAGTCTTCATATCAATAATTAAGCAGCCGTAGCGGAAGCAGTTGCTGCCATGAGGTACGTCAATGTCCGATATCGATTTGAGAAAGAAGTCGAGCTGACTTTGGCTTGGGAAGCGGAGAAGATGATTGTGGTTTGTTTACTTACTTATTTGAATACTTAACTGTGTTAACCATCTTCACTAATGGTACGGGGCCCAACATAATTCCCATTTTTTACGCAGTCGTCCATGGTAGTAACTCGTTTGCAAGACCATTCCGAATTCCTAAAACCGTTTCCATCTGCGAAAGCAGGTGGATTACGTAGGCCACGGACAAGTCTGCCTATCGTTTGACTGGTCGTTCAAGAAAACCCTTGCAAGAAAAAAGTGGACGCCACTCCACTGCTGTTTTCGTCTATTTGTCATCTGTTATTATTATGTGACCAGTCCATCTGTGTTTAGTCATTGACGTGTATTCTGTTGGATCCAAAGATGGGGTAGATAAGGGAAGATCTAAGCTTTGGCACTCCGGCTAGGTGTTTTGAGGACCGGTAAAATTTCAGAAGACATTGCTCAAGCTCCCTGTGGGTTTGTGCAGGTTTCATGACGTGGTTGAAGCATTAGCCGACGTAGTAGAGCACTATGCGATGTTTATGCAATGTAAGTGTTTTTTGGGTCATGGAATCCTGAATATTAAGAGGTCTAGGAATTTGAGGTAATCAATGTTGGATCGGTATATTATGTCTATCTATAAATCTATTTGAAGTGAGCTAGTAGAAATAGGAATGAATTATTACCGCAGTCGGTGAGTGCAAGGCGCTAAGTTTTTCTGCGACTTGATTGGTGTGATATTATATAGATTCTGTGAAATCCTAATTATTTTCCCTTCTGGCCATCATAGAGCTCGTGTGGCGCAGTGGTGGGAGGAGCCGTCCAATACACATGGGATCGATCTCCGCGCCCCATGCCCATCAAGCCCGCCATTCCTCTGTTGTCAGCAGATTGGTACCAAACATCTCTGGGAGGATAGCAGCACTGGTCCGATGCATCGGTAGATCACATTAAATTATTATAAAAGCCAGATATGCATCAAGTCGCCTTCAAACGATGCTTAATGAAGTCGTTTGCATGACGCATCCCTCATGGATAGATCAGCACTGAGAGCTGTACCCTTTATCCTTGCCATTGTTTAATTGATACGTTTGTTCGCTTCACAGATATTGGTAAATTTTTTTAAAATACACACTTCCTTGTTTGTCACTTTTCTCTGTTTCAGGAACGCATAGCGGGCGATTGTTCTTTCGGTGTCTATAGTAACACTTCATCGCTTGATTTTGAATCAGCCCTCACTCCTTTCCAAGACAGTGATGAAAAGGGCCGCGAATTTGCTTGGTCTCATGTCTTCGACAAAGGACTAAGTAGAGGTGTCGGTTATATTGGCTTTGTTGTCTTGTGTGTTGTTTGAACGGACAATTTCAGGTGAGGAAAATACAATCCTGTCATCGCTGAGCTTAACTGATGAGGTGTGTTCACAGAGGAACTTGGTAAATATATAGAAAACTATAAATTTTCGCTTTTTCTACCATTAGGGTTTTCCTGTTTTGCATATAAAATGTAAATTGATCTCTATTTCTTGTAAAATGCAAAGTGCCTTCCAGCGGTTTACCGCCTTCATCTTGGCTGGGAGGTATTCCTGGGTGTCGGCCTGCGATATAGAGCAGGGTGATTCATCCCCACGGCAAGGCCTGCCAAGCTGAGAAGGAGTCCGGCGTTTCCATCAGGAAGCCCAGTTAACAGTAAACCGACATCAGGATCCAACACCATCCAAGTATCAAACTAGTCGCATGATGGCAAATCTCCCTCTGATCCATGAGGGTGGTGGCTGCGTGTGGTGGTGACGTCCTGGGGTAGACTCCCAGACTGACCTTGGTGCTCTGAGGAACCACAGTGGCTAGACCAACAAAGCTCCGAAATGGTGGACATTATGCTGGGGTCCGCTTATGCAGTGAAGACGGGCCATCCAATTATCCAAGTAAGTAAAATGCAAAGTGATCACCAATAACGATTCGCATTTGTTGTTTGGAAGGCGTGCTCAATGGTATCTCGCAGCTCGATACGAATAGCATGTTATATTTACTAGAATGCCCTTCGTTTTTGCAATCTTCCTCAATAGATAACCACAAGGAGCACCCCGAGCTCCACAGTTGCTTTTGGTTACTGTAAGCCTAACTTCCAAATGAAAGTGTATAACTCATCCAATTTTACTTCGAAGTGCAATAACCTAGGAATGCCCACAATCAATGAAGCCGTTAGCCATTGGGGTAATGGATATCAATAGAATTATCACTGTAAAATCACAGCGGTTACAGGGGTCAACCGCTCATTTGCTCAACGATGTGAGAGACACGTGCACTAAGGTTGTCTGCGCTGCCTCTAGTGGAGGAATTGGAATTGGTAAGGAGAATCGGCTTACATGTGCTACTTGCGGTTTCTTGGCTAATAATCGGAAGGCGTTGTACAGGTACTGATTTTGTCATTTGTAGATTCCAGAAGTGTTTTATCGAATTCCATAAGGTTTTTCAAAATACAAGTCCTTTCACCATTATAACACTTTACATTTAATATACATTTAATA